GCAGGAAATCATATGCAGCTATTTGGAGCTAGTAAATAAGAGAAACTCTGTCAATAGGACTGAGTTAAAAATTCCACCTTGCAGACCCCATATGACCAGAGTCTGGGTCGCAAGGACAAAGGGACAATGGTAAAATACACTTCCCTCTTTTACACAAAGCACAGTGATTAGGGATACTGCCCAGGAAACGTGTCGCAAGCTCAATTCTCTCTTCTGCCTCCAAGGAATTAGGATCCACATCTCTGAGAGGTGTGTGTTTAACTTTCAAGCTATTGATTATTTTGAACTCTTCAGATCAATGATCAAGAAGAGCATCAGGATTCAGCAGTCTAGTCCTTAGGTTCTCCATTAGCTCCTCCTTCCTATGCTTTTCCAAATTTAACAGACAACATCACTTAAGAGCTGAACGAGTATTCATGCCCATAGAAAACATCAAAAATATATTTCTTGCAACTTCAGACTGGGAGATCTGCAGGACCTCAGAAAACAGCTGAGCAGGATAAGTGATAAAATATACTACAACAAAATTGAAGGACTATCTAGAGCAAACTCTTTGAGTCATAGAAACTTTACTTTACCTGAAAAGACTCAGACCCTTAATTTTAATGTAAAAAACTGAATGGATCTTTTCTAATATGACTCCTATACTTCACCTAAGACCTTCTTGTGAAATCTGACCTAATAAAACCAAATGTGCATCATCAAATAGTCCATGATTACATGGTTAGAAAATTAGATACTTGGTTTTGATGATGGCTGTCAAGTACTTGAACTAACATCATGTACTTGAACTTACCTCCTTCTTCCCAGGATCATTTGCAGTGCTACAGCCCACTTTCAGCAAATTTGGAAAATCTGCTATCCTCTAGTAAGGAAAAGATTCTGGATATCTAGGGTAAATGACTTCTCTGGTTACACAGATAATGATATGTGGAGTTATGTATGAACTGTGGGGCAGAAGTGCTCTGCAATATCTCCTGCAGTCCACTCTAGTCCAGACTAGGAACGTGGCTGGACCACAAAATAACCCTTAGCAAATCTAAGTTTTTTTCTCATGGAAGCCAGGGAGTGGGTGGAACTTTAGATGTATACATTTGGACTTGCCCCAACATGAAGCTTAGACGTGGCCAAGTTGCACATCCGGAGCCAGCAGCTAAAAAATGGTCCCAACACCCCTGGTTTGCACATAGTCTTGGAGAACAGAAACTCTGTTTCCCTGCAACAAGCCCGATACAAACTTTCCAGTTTTAACAGGCGGCGAATCAGATCCACAGAACCCAATTTGATTCTTGGTGGGATAATGACAACCTGACTCCAACTGAAGGACAGGGCCTTCCTTACCAGGCAGGATTTCCTAGGTTCTCCCAGGTTCAGTTAAAAGCATTTTAGTTGCAGCTGACAGATTTGTGCCAAAAGAAGTGGCTTAGAAGAAAATACAATAATGTTTAAATGCTTCGTGGTGCTTATTCAGAACTTCTGTTTTCCTTCCTTTTTCGTTTGAATCAGATAATGAAGGTGATGGGGTTTCAATAATAAGAGTACCACCATCTACCTATGTTTGTTTGCATTTTTAAATATGATTGTATTCTGACTGATTTGCAGTGGTAAGCAAGAGTTTGGAAATCTGATTGCAAGCTCTCAGCGACAGAAGTAGATAATTACTATCTCCACAAATATCTATAAGTTAAATCACTTGTTTTAATACAGATTAGATTAGTATTAAAGTTACAAGATTGGTATGAGAGACATGATAAATGTAGTCATGACAGAAAACAATTTTTAATTTAGTATACCCTATCAATCTAGATAGCCCATGAATATTTACCATTAATTCAGTAGGCTGGAACAGAGGGGGGAAAAAAGAACAAAAAATAGAAGGTTTGACCTAAACAAGGACTGAGGGAAAAAGAGAATTCTCAGCAGTTTTACTGAGAACAGATCTTGCAAAAAACGTGAACTGGCAACAGATTGGAAAATACATTTGGGGTGCCATTATAAACAAAGTCTTTAAAAAACCTGAATGACACACAAAAATAGTAGCCATTCTTAATACGTACTTCTCTTTGCAGGATTTACCAGTCTGATTACACTTAAATGAATAACTTCAAAGGCTGAAATAATATCATTTATGGAAATTCAAAACAAACCTATTTGATCACATCATACTTCACAGCAGGGATACAATTTGCAGGGGCTGAGTGAGGGCATAGTATAAGCTAAAACAGGTTGTGTGTGCAATGAACCAAACTAAATGGTTTATATAAAAGAAATGTTGTTTCCATTAATTTTTCTGGTAATCCTATTAAAAATGCCACCTGTCCAGAACAGAATTGTCCAGATTTTAATTCTTTTTCATATCTCAGTGTTCAAACACAAGACAGAGAAGGTATCATCTTATCGCTATTAAAATATGGCACAAAATGTCTTGTTCTGAAATCTTCATTACTGCAGCAGTTTCTCTGGCTCTGTTTCCATGTCTGGCTATTACACCTTTTATTTTTCCTCTCATTGTGCTCAAAGGACTGATTTTTCTGATAAGCCCAAAGAATATTTTTTCAAAGGATATGTCATATTTCTAACCTCTCTTTAACCAAATTGTTTCTAGTCTATAACACTTAAAATTCACATATATTAAGTAAATATAATTTGAAATGCACCTTTTAAAATTCCACACCCCCCCTCCAAAATCCCCTGTAACAAGCCTGAACAGGAACTTAACTTTGAATACCAACAGAGATGAAATGGTGTCATAATCAGCATAAGTGCATGTGGACTATTCACCTAGATCAAACACTTTGGTCATATACTCAATTAAATTTAAATCCCATTATATAATGTGTACCAGCCTCATTTTATGCAATTCCCTAATTTAATGGCTTGGTATTAGCCTTTTTCCTTTTTGCACACATGGACTAATTTTCACGGTGCTCGGTCCCTTTGGGAAGTAGGTCATTAAAGTCAACTGGATGGAGACAGAAACCTAATACCTAAACAGTGTTGCAGAAGGGTCAGAGACACAATAGTAATTTAAAACTGGTTTTCACTCATCCTTCTTTGTAATATTTATGAAAATCCTCCCTCATATAAATATTGTTCATTAATCTCAACGACCACAAAGTAGAAAGAACCAAGAAAGCTACCATCCTGTCATAATTTGTTGAAAACAAAAAAATCCCAGTTAAAAAACCAAAAATCACAATTATAATACTATTTAGCTGTTGAGACAATACTTGTTTTACACTGAAACAGTAGAATCATAATATTCATATTACCTTTCTCAATGTGTATTCTTTTTGTCTCATGTCCCACATCATGACCAGCCAGATCACCCTCCTTAGGTCCAGGCAGGACATTAGGTGACAAACCCATCAGCATTTGGTTCATAGATAGCCCGTTCTGATGGACAGCTGCTAGACACAAGCGCAGGCAGAAAGAAAATCAGCCGTCATATTAACAATACACTTTTGTACTTATTTTATATAGTCTTCCTCTTAATTATACAAGAATTCTAACAATCACAAAGTTCCTTAATTAGTGCTATCAGTATCCACACAGCGGGAGAGTTTCTTCCTGTTACTTCTGGTTAAAAACAATTCATTTTAAAAAGAAGATTTCAGTATCTTTGGACAAAGTTGGAGACTTTCAAACACCTTCTTGTTTATTTAACAAGAACTGAAGTGCAAAATTAAGCAAACCAGAAAAGAATAGCAGGTTCTACTTGAGATACTTACTGATTTATTTTGGGTTTTTTAGTTAGTTGTACAAAACCTCTTGTACATTAGCATTTGCCAATATGCAGTCCCTAACTTGCTTAAATTAAGCATTGTGGTCTTCCAGGTGATAAACATCGTTTTTCAAAATACACTGTGCAATAGCAGTGTTGCTCTTCTAACTAGCTTGAAAAGCTCTTTTCAACAGTTCTCAAACCTTCCTAAGTCTCGAACACACCTCAGAAACCCATATAAGGTAGCTTATATCCTTATGCTCTTATCCTGAAAAATTGTATTTGCAAGAGGCTTATGCCATTTTCAGTAAAGCATTTTTTCATATGTAAGTCATATTTCTGTAGCAGCCATCTTGCTAGCACCACAAAAGCAGATGTACCTAAGAATCAGGTGTGATGTTAACAAATCAGATAGGAGAGAAAAGTTATTTTATAACTAAATAAGTTGCTGAACTTATCCAGTATTTAAGGAACTCTGTTATGTTCACACTGGAAGAAACAACGTGCAAAGGTCCCACTTCTCTCTGCTGGTAAGCAAGAAGACTAAGCTGAATAGTACCATTTCTTTAAAAAATAGTGCCATTCCTTAGCACAACCAATAATATCTCTCAATTTAATTTATTTTTTTATTTAGAGAACAATGGAAAAGGTCTTCAATGATTGTAAAAAAACCCCAAACTATTCAACCAATTAAAAAAAATTAAAAATTCAGGGTTGTGAGTTTTTCTCCCAGAACTTTACTTAGGAACTCATAAAAACCTGTGGAAATAGATAGGTCACGGTATATGGGATGCCAGTTTAATCTGCACTCTGAATCGTCCAAGTGATAAGAAAACAGAATTTTCAGCTTGTCATGGTCAGGCCTCATTTATTTTCTTTGGTAAGTCATTTTTCATTACATAGTAATGAAAGATCTTTCATCTGAAGGTCAATGAAGAGTCAGTTTCCTGAGTCTGCGGAGAGCCTGAAAGGAAGCAGCCTAAACGACACACGTGCTGCATCTAATCAACACGACTACGTATTCCATATAGCTATTTCATGGCCTTGTATCTGCAAGCCAAATCCTCCAGTTTCACCTACTGACAAATTCCACAGTGGAAAGATGCCTTAAAAGCACAAAAATCTGCAATGGAGCAATAAAAAAAGGAATGGACAAGCGTACTATGAGTTTAAGTAAATATCCGTAAAATAATATGTGTTTAAAACCTTGATTTCCAGGCTGTTGCACTGGAATATCATATAATTCGGGGTCTTTGCCATGTACTTTACCTCCTGTACATGAAGCCTTGATAAAAATGGTATCACTTTGAGACACCATGGCTTAATTTCACTCCGCCCCTTGTAAGCTATGAGGTGATAATACTCTCCGTATCATATTTCTCACCATTATGAATCTTTATATTTAAAAAATGTATAAAGTATGCACATTTTTTAATTGATTTAACCTAATTCTTCTCTTTACCAAGGAATTGTACCATGTAAAATGTTGTTTATGAAGTCAGATTCAATTTAGAAATCAAACCAAAGTAACCAGATTAAATAAAACTCAATTTCTTTAAAAAATGTTTACACTATATGTTCAGTTCTAAAACTAATCTAGCAAATTGCTTCCCGGCTGCAATTCTGTATTTCATAGCTCATATCTTTATGTTTAATATGACATGATGGCAGTTTATATCAGTACCCGTTAATGTAGCATCAGATATTATGATACTGTAAACTGGGGAACATAATGTTGGGAGATACTTATTGCAGCTGAACTTCCGAACATGATACATATGAGATCTATTTAAGACGAGGGCATTTTGATTAGAAAAACCAGCTGCACCTAATCAAATTTAAAGTGGTGACAAGGAGAAGAATGTGACCTACGGATTCTGTCTGAAGAGCTCTCGGTCCGTGCAGGAGAGCTGGACACACTGCTGCTTCGATGAGAGGATGGATGGCTGCCAGGTCTTCGGCCCTCTTCAAGAGAAGGAGCAGGAGAAGGGCTGTCTGGAACACGTTCCTAGACCCCACGAAAAATAATTGCAAGAAAAGGCAATGTTAAACTAAACCTCTGTGGCTTCCAAACATCAGTTCCCTAAACTGCATCTCCCTCCTAAATCACAACCTATTCTTTCCTCTGTTGAGGTATCCAGGATTTGCAGAGTATTCTCAAAGGAAACTTAGCAATTTTAGGACACTAGACCTTATGTTTTAGTATGCGATGTGAGCACTGCTCATCCTGTCAGGCTTTCAAACTGCCTTCTGGACTGCTTATAAAAATAAGGTTTTTATTCTTCTTTTCAGGTGGTTTTTTTCTTCACTTCTGTCAGCATGCGGTTGAATTGGAAATATACATTTTGTTTACTAGCTTATAGACCTTAGCCTTACAGGATGAGGAACAATGTACTTTCGTGAATAAATAAACACCAGACACTGTTGTTATAGCTTATGCTGAATTTTACTCCACATTTTAATTTCAAAGGGGCTTCTTGAGCAATGAGATTTTACAGAACTGCTCTGGATCATAAAGAAAATATAATCTCCCTACTGAACCTGTACCAGTAACATGGCTGATATAGTCCAAATGTATGTTTATATCATTGAGCACAAACCTGGAATGAAGCACATATTTTGGAAGAGTGTGACCATATCACTGGACACATCACTACTTCGAAATGGGGAAAAATGCCCATTCATGGTTTTGTATCCAAGGAGAAGCCTGGCATGGTAGTCAGGAGGAGCTATGATGGATTTCAAGATGATCCTTGACTTTGAAAATTAGAGTATGAGGACTGTGATGGTTTGAACCACGCTTCTGCTATTGTGAGAACCATCAATATGTAGCAGATAGATATATCTGATATTTACACAGAACTGTGATAGAAACAATAAACAAAGGGAGCGGAGTGCAGAATAGTCCTTTCTAGAAAATTCTCTGTCTTTCCCTGCAGTTTCCTCTTTATTGCTAATAGCTCCCAAGACTATGTCATTGCTAAAATATGTGTGAGTTAAGTTGGTTTGGTCAAATAGTGATAAAAGTACATAGTTCCTATAAGGAAAATCTATTGGGGAGACTGAAAATGTTAAACTAGGGAGGGGTTGGTTTGTTTTTTTCTCCTTTTGATAATTGAAATCCTGTCTTCTAATGAAAAAAAAAAAAAGGGCAAACCAAAAACAAACCCCAAAACAACCCCAACATTCAACTCACTAAAAGCTTGCAGTAATGAAATCATACAATTAGTATATGTTTAATAATACATAATGAAAACTTGCTGCTGCAAATGCCTAAAAGTTTTCCTGAAAAGAGCATTACGTTCCTCACACTGCAAATTGCTTTTGCAGCAGTCATTATTTTTCATGCACAGTAGCTAGATGAATATTTATTTCGCTGAATGCACTCCTATCAAACTTAGCAACATGACCATGTATAGTAATCAATAGATTTGTTCCAGGTAAGCTTTATAATAAATATTTGCTAAACTTGAGATTCTGATTGCAAAGGGATTCAATGGGCCTATTGATGGAGTGGGAGAAGACCTTTCAGAGCAGTGTTTCAAGACATTTAAGTGGATTCCACTTTAATAGTCTCGGGTTTTTAAGTCAAAAACATTGATGAGGATAGTTTAACTGCATCATAGCTCTAGGCTTATTATGACTTTGATTGTGTTTATATGCCCATGAACTGGGTATTCAAGAGGAGGATTATAATGCAGATGTTTTCAGAATGTAGAAGATTTATTTCTTTAGATTTAGGAGGATTTAAGCATGCACAGCGTACAGATTTGGTATAAATTGGAACACGCTATATTTAATCATTCATTTAATATATAATTTCACTGTTTGGCATACAATGTATTGTTCTTAGAAGGGTTTCATTAAAATGAAATCCAGTGAGCACATAAGATTTGAATACAGAGCTGCAGAGTAAATTAATTTATTTAAACAGCTTAATTTGTTTATCCTATTTATTTATGTGTGCTTTTACAGCATGTATTATGAGATGGGGAGAGCAAAAGGAATGCACAGGACAACAAAATATAATTACTGCACAAACAAAACAGATAATGAGTTTTATTCACATATAATATGACATAGCAGACAAACTCTACGAGAAAACTATATATAGTGGCTTTATCAATTCATTTGTAAAATACCCTTTAACCCCAACAAAACATGGGATTGAACTATGCAGAAATGGAAATTAATTTAATATCTTAACTCATTTTTTATATCCTTGCTTCATAATTCCACAATCAATAATATAGTCTATAGCAATTTTTTGTCTTTATCAAATCTAGCTGCAATAATAAATGGAAATGCTACTAATAATAAATTGAAATACTCTGTAGCTCTAAAAAGTCATGGTGATAAACTAATGGTGCTGGGATATCAATATAAGCTGTCTTCCTTACAAAAGATTTTGTGTAGAAAAGATGGATTTTGTCTGTGGTAAAATATTAACTTTACATTTAGACTTCACTTTAAAATTATTCAGAAAAGGAAATGTGCAAAAACGTGTTCAGTAAATAACTCAGATGATCTGAGCTATTTTGTAACTTCTGCAAATGGCACTTTTGTACAAGTAAGTCTATACAACACAGCAAAGAAAAGGATTTTACTGTGTTATAACCCTGGCAATAGAAATCACCTAGGATACTGTCCGCTGTCCGGTATTTTTCCTAAAACTTGTCCACTCTCAGGACAAACTCAATTCCACTTAATTAAAGATATCTCTACAGAACCTGGTGTGGGCTTGTACTGTAATTAGTCTCGTTGTCTCCCAACACACCAGCAAACAAACAAATAAATAAATGAAATCCGAGTGACTTTGCTTTGCTAAAATGAAGTATGAGGAGGAAACTCTGCAGGGCTCAGTTTGAAATCAATGTATCTGAATGTAAGTATTTAAATGCAGCTAGAGATGAAACTTCAGACACCTGTATCTAGGATGGCACATGAAGGGGCCCGCCTTGGAGGTAAGTGTTTCCCATTTCAGTCAATTGAGATATAGACAATAAAGTCAATGGAGCCTCCTCCAAAACCACACACCTACAGCTCAATTCAGCCGCTCACATTTGAGCCATTTGAGCCACTGAAGGGCTTTGAGATGTCCACACCAGGTTGACAGACAGGACCTACAAAAGCTCTGCTGCCTTCTGGAGTGGCACTAGGATGCTAAAAACATTATCCCTGCACTTACTGGCTGATAAGCTGAATAGCTGCCAAAACTCTACCGACAATTTTTACTAGAAAACAAGAAATACAGAATTATTTATCGCTTGTAAAACATAGCCCTCAGAAGCCACCTTTTTTCTCCATTTTTTGCTTCTCTATTTGTTTCTACAGGTACTCACAATTAAAAAGTAGTGTGAACAACTTAGGGCATATGTAACAATTTCACATATGGTCGACCAACTTTCCAAAATTAGTAACTGACTCTCAATTAGGCATCAGAAACAGAGGCTACACTAAGCACTGGACAACACAGTCTTTAATGGCCAAACTTGGAGCATGCCTTATTTTGGTGCTGTTTAAAATCTGACCCAAATCAAGAATCCTAAGTATTTAAGAATCTGACATTTAACTCCTTCAAAAGTGCTCCTATCATATATGAAACTTTCACTGCAGGGAGATATAATGCATTTTGCTGTACTCTTATTCTACTGACATTACCAGTTACACACCTTCACACTTCATAAATAACAGAATTGTTCTTGACACCGGGCTTTTTTTTTAAATTTTGTAAAAACAGGTATAACGGTCAGATGTTGAAGTTGTCTCTAGAATTAGCAACCACTCCAATTTTGTTACAGAATACCACGTATCGGTAACAACATAATACTGTCTCGGTCTCTCCAAGTAAAACAGAAGTGTCTTAGCAACATTTTTCTATGTTTTTCAAGCAGCTCTTTGCATACATGCAAAGACCATACTGTAAAAATCTCATTCCAAAAGTTCCTTTTAAGTAACTTCTTATTAAGATTTATCTTAATATATCAGTAATGGTATCCGGAAGACCATAAATACTTTCTTCCCCATATCATATATATCTTTTTCTTCTTACCAGGTCACCAAGGTAGTTATTCAATAATAATCTCTTTTTTTGCCTCTTTTCTTTCTGCTCCAGCAGCATGTTTTCATTGTTTGAAAAGTGCCTCATTACCAAAAGTCTTCTTCAAAAACCTACCAAAACATAAACTTGATGGAGTTCAGCAGTTAGTCCCTATATCACTATCTACCAGAACACATTTCAGGGAACATGTGTAGGACTAATCCTTCTGCTCCTAAGAATATAGACAAGGAAGTGATATCTCCTAGGTTCTCACCACCTCAGTAGTTCCACAAACATTCTTTATTCTTTGCCATTCCTGTTTCTTAGCGATAAAATTCCAGAATCCTTCTAACAAAGTTTGAATATGCGACTTCCAATAGCCAACCTGTTTTGCATGCAGAGTTTTATCTTCTGCGTATTTCTCTCCTACAGGTATTTTCTGTCTCAGCTTTTTCCTTTGTTCTAGTTTGCTTCTCCATAAGATTAATCTCTTGGACTTAGTCATCCTTTAATTTTAGTCAGGGACAGAGTTCTAGACATGCAACTACGAATAGTTGTAGAGGTATATTGCTATTAAAACTATTCAGCTGTCTTGAAGCTCTTCAGCGTTGAACAAACTTCCTTAAGGGTATTTGTGCTTTAAGTCATTGAAGTGCAGAGGATAAAATCACTTATTTTCAGCGTCGTACCTTTCAATAGTTTAGGTAACTTCATACTGGGGAAAGGATATATGAGACACGCTGTTTCACACACTATAATTTTAAAAAAATAAAATTAAAAGGCTTTTAATCAGGAATAGGTTATAATATTCTGATCTTTCTGGGAAGGCACCTGTCTTCCAGTCCTTTTTGTGGTAAAGTTATAATAATCTCTTTCACAATGACCAAAAACTCAGACCTCCTACTCTTCAGTTCCTTGCTGACCTGTTTTGAACTTGTGTGAGAAGTATTCCAGGAATGGCTTTCTTG